ATAATCCATGCAGGATGTGCATACATTTCAAAATCATGAGTTGAATAACGCTGACTTCGCCAGATTAAATATTCGATTGTACAAAGCGGAGCGGCGATGCACTGGCGCCTACAAACCTACCAGGGATACTTCACGTATTGCGCAACGCGTGAAATATCCCTGTTAGGTTTGTAGGCGCCAATGCGCGATTCGCGCTGGCTGCCCGCCTGCCGCGCCGCAGCGTGTCACGGCGCTAGAAGCAACTATTTCACACCAGAGGTATTGCACAGTATCATACAAAACTGAAGGCGCTCTAATATATTAGGACTGGCAGGCATCCATCAAAAGTACGGGCGAGCTTTCTTCGCAAAATAAATCAAGATACTACGGTCCAAAAAGAGAGCGGTAGTCCAAAAACTTACTAAGTCCTAGCATCCGTAATTAGTAACGTTTAGCATACACTTTATCGCTTGGCTGTTGCTTAGTCGCCATCGGCTATAAAAAGCTATAAGAAATTGTATAGCCGGCTATAGAAGCTATTGGAAATCTTACAGCCGGCTGTAGGTTTATGGTATTTTGGAACACAGATTCTACTGCCAATTTTTACCAGGGACACACGAATTTAAATCTGACGTACTCAGAAGAAAAATTCAAAATGCACTTTTAAGAGACTTAAATTATAAAATACACTCATAACGATTTTTTTGTAATAATCCGTGTTACTCATTTTCCACCAGGGAATAGGTACTAAAACATCATAATTTCTCCTTTTTTCTTCTGATTAGTCGTGAGTCAAAACTAACGACTTTTTACGACGATTTACAAATTACATTTCGTAGGATACAAAACTATCAATGCAATTAATGATGGATCAGATGTCATAAATTCAGTAAACCTCGTCCGCTTTCCTTTGCAATATCTACATCTCTTTCATTGGTCATTTTAATCTATAAAGACGAAGAAAATGAACTTTTATAACGATTTAACCACCAAGGTAAATAATTGCTTTTCGGTGTGAATGACCGGGATTAAGAATTTTGAGGTATAATGTGATGCAATAGCTAGGAACATTATGTTTGATGAATAAAAGAAAGATTCTGTATTTATTCAGCAAAATAATTTTATTTAACAACATGAAAAAATATATATATCTACAACAAATTTCAATCAATGCCTATCCTAGTTTCTAATTCTTGGGTATTATTTTTCAGTCTTGCTCTGTGCTGACGCACATGTTAAAGTGCAAAGGAGCGGGAAAATACTTTGTAAGAAAAAAAGAAAAATACTTGAAATACAAAATGTAATTTTACAAATACTGTCTTAACTCCAGCAGCGATCAAAGTAACATTTTCCTTCCCCTGGCAGTTGGCAAGAATGAGTGAGGCATTAAAACTTGACTTCGCTTGTTTTTCAAACGAAATAAACTTCTTCCGATCACGAGTCACCTCAATGGAGCACTAGACAAGGTACGAATTTCAGCATTCTGATTCATGTTACTTAACCAAAATTTCACGTAAAACACGATGCGCACAACGAAAAATACCGAAATCAACTCCTTACGAAGATACTTAATGATTCCTGATGCGTAAATTCAAACCATCCCGCTCATGAAAACTCAATACTCTACGTGATTCACATCGCGCGCTAAAAGTTATCATGACAGTAACTGCGATTTAAAAATGTGGCAACCTCAATTTTGACGTTTTGGCTCATCTATAGCAAACTGCTCATAATTTGAACAACACATGGTAGGAAATGAACATTGCTCAATTGAGAAGCTTGCTGAAACCGTTGTAGTACGCGATTTGACTCACGTAGAGCTTTGAGTTTCTTGTGAGCGGGCAGTTCAAATTCCTCGTACCCAATGTAAAATAAAAACGTTGATGTCTTCGTTAGGAGTTAGTTTCAGTAATATCCATTGCGCTAATCGTGTTTTACGTGAAATTCTGGTTAAGAAAGATGTATCAGATTGCTTAAATTCGTACCTTGTCTAGTGGTCCAATACTTCTATTTTCAATACTCCGGAATTTTATTTGAAAGTATAATATTATGCTTGTGCATCAATTCCCTGTTAATGACTAGACTTTCTTAAAAAGATCGCTGGTTGCAGACACTGAAATCCCTACTTTTTTTAGAGGTACACATAACATTTGAAGTTACATGGATGGTAACTATAGATTGTTACTGTAATAGTCCCGCTAATGAAGAAATCAACTATTTCTCCGATGATAATGCATATAATTTGTTCAATATACCATTGATTTATTCACATTATTTTTAAGCTTCGGGTCAAAGGACGAATAAAGAACTGATTTAAGCCATACATATACATCCGGCTTGATTTTTAATAGAATACAATGGGCAAGTAAAAGATATGAATTTACTAGGTACTCACATTTTTTCGCAGAGTCTCGAGGTAATAATGGGTCGTTTTCTCCGGCTAGAATTTTACCCATTTTTAGAGTTGCGCGTGGACTTCTACAGTGTGATCTCAACTGTTTGACCGGGTTTGTATAAAACTAAAATGTTCACTATAACTTCAGGTGCAATGACCCATTTTTAATTCATTCGAATTACAGTAACAAGACTAGTAAAGAAACCTAAATACAACGGTGGGTATCAAAAGAGGTATTGCATGGATCACTCGATGTTACACATGAGGTGGAACGGACCTTTAAAGACTTAAACTATAGATCACCCTCACTATCATCACGAAACTAAATTCATGTAGTAGGTGCTCACATTTCGGAGACACCTATCCGCCGATAACAATTTCCATAGATTCGTATAACGGTTGTGTCGTTTTATCTTAACTCCGTTAGGCGCCCGCATAGGTTCTTACTTACCGAGTGACCTTTGCCCGGGTATCCGTCAAGATAACATTTAAAAGTTTGTAAAAAGGCGGAAACAGAGAAACCGTCATCTCACATGTGGTACTTCAGATTTTCATCTTTTGCTTGACGTTTTTCTGATATATGATAGCTGGAGTTTTCCACAAAAGGTTTCTGAAAGTTTTTAAAAAAAACCGAAACCGATGAGATTGGCTTAAAAGCTAACATGAACAAAACAAAGAAAAACGAGACTTTCTCACAATAGTAAGAACCAGGAATGGTCAGCGGTAACCTACGGTAATGAAGACAAGACGCCTTGGTTTATCTGCTAGATTGAAAAACATCAGATATTCATGCAATCAAACTAACTTTCCACAATACCTTGTTCCCCAATGATAAAATTGCACCAATAAATGTCTTCAAAATGTCATAGAGTAAACACTGTGACAATTAGGTAGGTTACGTTGCTTGACTGCAGATTCATTACAAATGTCATACATTTAGGTAATACACATTTAATTTAATTTGACTAAATATAATTAAATGAAATTTCATCAAAATAAAAATTGAATTTCATGTTACGACTAAGCAAGGTCTACTCTTTCAAGGATTTACTCTTCATTGGCGCAATACTTAGTCAGATTTTTTTAACCCCTGGAAGTTGGTATCGAAAATAACTTTTAGATTAATCAATCGTAGGTAAACATTTATCACAGATTCGTGCTCTCCAGAGATGAAACCTCATAGATTAGAAAACTACATAATTACAACGTCCAGTGTTGACGATCACCCTTCAAAACAGGAAATATGCGATTTGTATCGATAGTACCTATATAAGATTAATGATTATTATGGACATCAGTGCAAACGATGATTCCATCATCTAGGTCAAACTTGTTAAAGGTACCTTAAGTGTGCATATAATTTAACCATGATGGAAGTAACAAGAAAATACACTGAAGACATATGTGATGTTACCTGTGTGTTTTGATTTTCCGAAGGCGCTCGCTGTATCCCTTTTTAAAATGGACAAAGAAACTGATCGTTTGAACTACTCTATTCGTGTAGGTGAGTATAGTGAAAGCCCGTTTGTATGAACACGGAACTGACTAAGTCAGAGGGATGCCAACATTTTTTGTAAGAACTAATTATCACAGTCGATATGGAAGGAGTTCTGCAGCAGGGAGCAAAAGCGGAATATTGGTGACCAGTTAAGATTAGGTGGCTATTTATGGTGTACAATAGAAAACTCTTGAGCCATAACCAGGCATTTTAACGACAAATGCCACACCTAAAAAAAAATATGCTGAAGCAGCATTTCAGATGTCAAAGTGGGCCAGTAGAGATAGTACAAATTTAAGCATTCTGATGCATGCTACCAACTGGAAATTTCACGGAAAACACGATGCCGGCATCGAAAATTACTAAAATTAACGTGATTAACTAAAATTAAAAATTACTATACAACACACCTGGTTCGCACTGGTACATCGATGGCACTTCGCCATCGATGTACCTATCAGAATGCCTAAAGTCGTACCTTGCACTAAAAAAAAAGTTATGAGCTACATAGCCGTACCGTCCGTTCCGGGCTCAGAGGCCGGAAGTCCCATGTGCTGGAGCCGTAGCTTCGACTGCTCCGGGTGCTTTACCCGGAACGCGGACGGCATGTCTATAGCCGCAAGTGCGGCTCCCACGGCCGGAGTTTATTCTTTTCAGTGCGTCTACTGGTCCATTGACCATTTCCGAATGATTGTCTGGATGCATTTCTCCAGCAGGCCGATTATTGAAAACGATAGACAAAGCTACATAGACAAATAAGACAAAAGGTATATGGAGGGATCTTATTGTTGGAAGCGGTGCAATGGACGAAGAAGGTAGGTAATAGACTAACTAAAGGCAACTCACGAGAGACATTACACTGCCAAGCTAAGGAAGAACGCCGTATGAACATTCGAGAGTTTCCAAATTGCCCCGGATAAAACATGTATTTTTGAGAAAGATCATACGTCTTTTTCCTTGAAATTTGCAGACATTTTAGACAAAATTGCGGACAAAATTCTCTGAAAAAATTGAAGAAAAACATTCACAATTTTCCCAGTAAATTAGGTTTTTTATTAAACGAAATGTGGCAACGTCTGAAGGTTCATACGGCGTTCTTCCTTAGCACGGCAGTATAGTGTGTCCATAATTTTCTCCTTCAGTCTATAGGAACTACCCATTTCACCCAATAGGATCGCTCTATACTCCCGATGTCCTCTTTGTCTATAGCTTTGTCTATCAATTTCAATAATTGGCCCGCAGGTGTCCAAGGTGCCGCCGTTCAGACACAGTAGCAGACCCCCTTAAGGATGGGGGCGGCTGCGAGGGTAGCTCTGGGGAGGCAGTTGGCCTGCGAGCCGTAGGTGTTGATGCGCGGGATGTCCGGTCCAAGTCCCTGGCGGCTGGTCGTCGCCTCGAAGATCCCACCGCCGGGCTCCGTCGCAATCGTCAGGTCCATCGCCAGACTCGGCGACCGCCGGCAGAAGATCACCTGCTTCAGCGTCTGCCGCGCGCACAGCGTCGTCAGGTTCCGAAGCACCACCGAGTTGAAATGGTCCACGACCTGGGTAAAAGAAAAGTTTCGTTGAGAGGATGAGCTAGGAGCAGAGACGAGAGACCCTCCACTAGCCTCTTGGTGACAGGTGGAAGCCTTTACTTTCGGGGATTCAACAATCCCTTACGGAAAATTATAAGGGAGTAATAGTCATCACTCATATTTCGGCTGTTGACCTACCTACATGGTGCTTTGAGTGACGTCATGAGCCAAACAAGTTTCCCAAACTTCGGGTTGTTTGCAAAACGAAGCTGCCAACATGTTGCTGAACATCAACCATGTAGGTAAGTCAACAGTGGAATGCTACAGTCCCGAAAGTAAAAGCCACCATTGCCAAGATACTAGTGGAGGGTCTCTTGTCTCTGATGAAGATTGATGAGAGGCAAAACTACACTAAGCCGTTGGAAAGGCTCAAGACGCATTTCATGGTGGAGAAAAAATGGCATGGACATGATCGGGCATTTATTTCTTTAAATGGGAGGTTCAGGATGAAAAAGACGTATTCACTTCGGATAACATGAATGAGACTAGATTCTTTGATTCTAAAGATATAGTTTCGTAGTTCTGATTGTTTTCATAAACGTGGAGTAGATAGGCATTTGACGGAAGTAGAAGAAACCCGTGGTCACTTCCGATTGGTTCTGGATGACATTATTCGGTTCGCCGCAAAACAGGGCCGTTTTAAATTTGCGGAAAAAGTTGTGCTTTTAAAACGGCGTATTTCTCATCAGTTTCTGAGTTACTTTTTTGCGTTTTAAAAGTGCGCATTGTGGTCTATGCGTCATTCATTTTTGGCTAAATGTATTAATGGATGATATGAATTGAATGTATGAGAAGAGACCAAGGGGACGCCCTGTGAGAGGGTGGCGACGGGGGGTTTTAGAAGAATTGCGGGTGTTCCAACTCCCTGAAGAGATTTGGTAGGATAGGGAACTTTGGCGGCTATGTGTCGCAGAGCGGCAGAGAGCGCTATAAAAGCGGCTTTGTATGTATGTATAAATGTTTTCACAAGTTAAAATTCGTTCCTGGTTTAGTCAATGATCAGTGAAGGAATATATTCTGAAGGGTATATGAGACGCAAAAGCGCTTACTTTCTGTGCTGCGTCGTGGCATTGGGCGTCGTCGACGTCGACATCTTTCTTGTTCTCCTCACAGGTGCAGAAAATGGGAGGGACACCGGCCGCCGGGCAGTCTCTGTCCTCGGGGATCGTCTGGAAGAGAGAGATCCCGTGGGTGTCCTGGGTGAAGAAGTCGAACAGGTGAGGAGCCTCCGTCCGCAACGGCCCCAAGAGGTGTCGCAGAGACAGGAACTCTTGATTTTCCGCCGGCGTTCTCTCATTCCTGTGAAACACATCCGACATTTACTGAAACTCGAAAAACGAGTTAACAATCACTGTACTATACTGCCATGCTAAGGAAGAACGCCGTATGAGTCTTCAGACGTTGCTAAGTTTCCACTGATAAAAACCGAATTTACTGGGATATGTGGGAATATTATTTCCCAAAATTTTCAGACAGTTTTGTACGCAATTTAATCTAAAATATCTGAGAATTTTAAGAAAAAATATGCATGACAGGTGTTAAAAATCATGTTTTGTTTTTTCCGTCTCTCTCTAACGCTTATTATAGATATCGTTGGCTAAAGTGCGAGACCACGTATCTCCGTTGCGGGTTACGGCGTTTTAAAATGTCCGCCCCCATTTCAAATTTTTATTAGAAACAAGGCAACAGTATAGTTTGAAAGGTTCACGGAACGTGCCGACAGAGAGGAAAATCAAGGGAGGTTCTCAAGAAATTACGTGGACTGGTTTTCCGAGGAAAAAATTAAGTATGACAGGCGGTGTGCGACAACGCAGAGGGAGATACGTGGTTTCGAACTTTGGCCATCGATTGCCTCTAATTTTGGATTACATTAAGAACGCCGTATGAGCCATTATGCATTGCCAAATTTCCTTCGACAAAGCACGAATTTTCTTAAAAATTTGTGAATAAATTTTTTTCAAATTTCTTAGAGGATTTTGTCCGGAATTCGATCTAAAAGTCTGAAAATTGCAAGGAAAAATATTCATGACTTTCCTCAAAAATAAATATTTTCCGCCAGGAAATTAGGCAACATCCGAATGCTCATAGGGCGTTTTCATTCAGCACGACAGTATAGACTCTCATTGAAGGTGAGTCTTCTGCACAAAACATACCAGAATTTCGACGATAAGAACGACTGTCTCGCCTCCCTTCTTTTATTATTATATTTATAAAACACCTTTATTTGTTATATTATACAAAGTGCAACCAAGTGCAACCATTGAGAGACAGGTCGATGGCGGAAGGCCTATACTACGTGCTAAAGTTGAAGTTCAAAGTTTTCTTGTTTTTTTTTACAACTGACTCACCTATTCAGCGTATTGGGGTCGTGAGTGAGGGTGGCGAGAACATCGCGGAAGGTGGCGAAGAGGTCGTGGGAGGCAGTGAATCGCTTGCGGTTGCGGGCGAGGCGGGTTTTCCACTCGGGGTAGACCCGGGGGAACCACTCGGGGACGACAACGGAGACCATGGGCATCCGGTCTTCGATCCGCCCGACGAACGTCACCCGGATGGGGTCGATCCGGTTCCCGTGGTCGCCCAGCACTATCACCACCGACCGGTTGAACAAACCCTCTTCCAGGCCGGTTCGCAGCAGGGCCGTCAGGTCGCCGTCTAGCGCCTGAAACGGTCAAACGAAAACAATACTTTAATAAAATACAGTAGACTCTGGATTATCCGGCTTCGTATTATCCGGACTCTGGATTATCCGAATCGATTTTGCAACCATGTAACTACGTACGCATTTCGATAAGTGAGCGGATCCGCGGAGAAGCGGTCGCAAGGCATATTGGCGCCTGCAAGGCTGAAGGAATACTTCACGCATTGCGCCAAGCAGTGAGGTCGGCGTGGAACGCACTAGCGCCTACTAGATTGCATAAATACTTCTCGCATTACGCCAAACGCAGTGCAGTCGGTTAGTTAGCCTAAAACGCACATTAGCGGCTACAAGACTGCATGAATACTTCACGCATTGCGCGCTTTAATCGTTGTATTGTAATTTATCGTTGTCGGCTACCATTCACAGTCACCATTGAGTCGTTCAGTTTGGCGTTAACCTTTTAACTTCGTGTTGGTATGTACATGATGAATACATAATAAGAATACTGTGGTGTTGGTTGGTGGTGCTTGTGTTTACTATTATTATCCGGATTTCTTTTTCATCCGGATCGGGCGCCCGGCACCAATTAATCCGGATAATCCAGAGTCTCCTGTAATAAAAAGTAAAAAAAGTGAAAAAAAAAAAACCAGTTGAAACTGCGTACAAGTAGCGTAAATCGTCATAAGTTGCGAGAATATCGTCAAGTTATCGTTGCAATTTACAGGCAAGATGTGTAAAATGCCGCAATATGATGATGACTTAGAATGAGCGGGACCTTTTTGCCAACTTTGAACAGTTGAATATCGCCCGCAATTAGGAACTACTTTATCTGGAGCATTTCCAAAACAGTATATATGCTATCAGTTTTCCTACGGAGATAGGTGATTTTATGGGCGTCAGATATTGTAGTTCTCAGTTGCAAAATGTAGTGCAGTTAGTACTAATGGGTCAGTTGCGCTGGTCTCAGAATCGCGTTTTGATGCTTGATTCTTGTAGATTAGCTAAAAGTAATAAGATCTGCCCAAACCGCAACTTTTCACGTCCAATATTGACCGAGATATCGCCCTATGAAAATTCGGTTAATGGCGTCAACCACGCTGCGGTAGTGACACCCTTGGTCTCTCCCACCTTACTTTCATCCAAGTTTCACGTTGAGGAACCAGCGCAAATGTGCGTCATACTGACTGATGAGTAGGGAAGGAGGAAGAAACCAAGGGTGTCACTACCGCGGTGGATGACGTCGAAAGCCCGACTTTTCAAAGGGCGATGCCTCTGTCAATATTGAACGAGGAAAGTTGCTGTTTGGACGGCTTTTATTATTTTTAGGTGATCTACAAGAATCAGTCATCAAAACACGATTCTGTGGCCAACGCAAATGACCTATTGGGCGTATTTCTGTCAAATGGAACTGTGTGCATTATGACGTGATCCTTGCTTTGCATATATTCTTATGGGTCTCAGGGCCCATGTCTGAATGCACATAGTTTCGTTAGGCAGAAATGCGTCCCATTGTAGGTACTCCAGAGGGTGGTCAGGTAGTGGCTGCTGATTCTAAATTTTTTTAGTGCTAAATACAATCCGGACTTCCTATCCGTCGTCTCGTCGAGTCGAGTCCAGATTAGATTAGAAATTCTTGCAAGAGTAAGGCTTACCCCGACAGTGTTGACGTAATCGTGGCTAAGCTCGTTGAACAAGGAGAACATGAAAACAGGGGAGTCTTTGTAGGCTCGCAGGAAAGACAGGAGGTAGTCGAAGAAGATGATATGTTTGGGCGTGGGGCCGAGGCAGTAGGTTGCGCTAGTTTTGTACAAGAAGGAGGCTTCGACGGCGAGCCAGAAGGTCCGCATGTAATGCAAAGTCGGCTGCTCTTTGATCCCGCTGGCCAAATAGTCGAACATGTTGAACTCCGGTAGGTCCTCGGCGTATATCGTCGCTGCGCCAGCTTCCCGAAACTCGTTCCAGATGAAGGGCCAGCCCTGCACATAATGCGTAAAGGCGGACTCATTGAAAATTGAAGAACATAATGAGGCTACTAGTTCCAAAGTGTGCAATGTCCATTACGGTCGAAATTGAGTTAGGAGTGAATTCTTGATCAGTCATTGGAGGAGAAGTGGAAAATAATTTAATTGTGTGCCAAAGCAGCCAAAATCATTTTTAACTAGCAGTTTTAAAAAGGTGGGTCGCAGCAAGACGTAAACAGCACTCAAAACGGTTTTTTGCGTTTTTGTGACAAATCACTTTTATGAACATTAAGTGCACTTTGGAACTAGTAGCCTCATATATGTGATGATGTACCTAGGAAAGTATAACTCTCATTGAGGAGAGGGGGGATATGCAATCAACCCAGGGAAAGATTTTTTCTTAGAGGGAACTAGGGAGCAAAAGCACTTTTTTCTCTAAAGTTGTTAAATTTATTCAATTTAATAGAAGTGGGACCCTGGTAAAAATTGGCAGAAGAATCTATGTTCCAAAATACCATAGACCTAAAGCCGGCTGTAAGATATCCAATAGCTTCTGTAGCCGACTGTACAATTTCTTATGGCCCTTTATAGCCGATGGCGACTAAGCAACAGTCTGACGATAAAGTGTATGCTAAACGTTACTAATTACGGATGCTAGGACTTAGTGAGTTTTTGGACTACCGCTCTCTTTTTGGGTCGTAGTATCTTGATTTATTTTGCGAGAAAAGCTCCGTACTTTTGAAGGATGCCTGCCATTCCTAATATGTTAGCGCGCCTTCAATTTCGTAAGATACTGTGCAATACCTCTGGTGTGAAATAGTTGCTTTAAGAGCCGTGGCACGCTGCGGCGTGGCAGGCGGGCGGCCAGCGCGAAACGCGCAATGACGCCTACAAACCTAACAGGGATACTTCACGCATTGCGCAATGCGTGAAGTATCCCTTTTAGGTTTGTAGGCGCCAGTGCGCCGCCGCTCCGCTTTGTGTTAGGCTCTAATATTTAATCTCGCGGAGTCAGCGTTGTTCAACTCATGACTTTAAAATGTTTGCACACTCTGTATGGATTATTCTCATTTTAATTGATGAAAAAAAAATTGTTTTAAAGGAAAATATAATGTGTGTTTTGTAAATATTAAGGTAGTTCCGTATCAAACTTGATGATTTCCAAAGCACACGAATTTCTACACAATCTATCTATACTATAAGCTCCAAGACCTCCTAATTTTGCGAAACTGGTAACGCTTAGTTCCAGCGTTCTACCGGGCCGATTTTCATGATTTTTGCGGCTATCGACGGGCAATTGTCTCTAGATAAGCCAACTTTTTTCAGATTTTCAAAATATGGCCCAGGTTTTTTTATATTACGTGGTAAAGTTGCGAATTCTCCCATTTAAACAATGTAAATTTATACTTTTTGTCATAGTTCGTTTGAGCGTTCTACCGGGCCGATTTCCATGATTTTTGCGTAAATCGACAGGTAATAGGCCCTAGATGAGCCCGCTGTAATCAGATTTTGGAAAAAGGACCCAGGTTTTTTTAAAATCACGTTATAAAAGTGAGTGAGTTTACAGAATGCTCCGGTACTGCTACTAGACCGAGAGCTCATGACGATTCGTTCAACCGGAATAATATAAATTTGCCACCCACCTCATTCGAAGCGGATTTTGGTGTGTAAAAAGAAATGGGCGGTCTGGCAGGTCAAACCGGTTGCATTAAGAAAGTTTTAGGCCCCTAAAAAGCCCAAAAATTGCTCGGATTTTGACCGGAAACATATACACTTGA